TTTCTCATAGTGCTTTGTCTGGGCATTTTCTTTTCTTTTCTTTTTTCTTATCTTAGCGTAATACAGGCCTTTTGCCTATATAATATGATCTCTGGTTTTGTGTTTTTAAGGTATCTCTCTGCGTATATGCACATATATATATATATATATATATATATGTGTGTGTGTGTGTGTGTGTGTGTGTGTGTTTGTGTGTGTGTTTCTTGTGCCTTTTCTTGGCTTCACTTTTCTATTTGTTTGTTTGCTTGCTTGCTTGGTACTATTCAAGTTTGTTTTTTTGTTTGCTTGTTTGTTTGTTTTTTGAGACAGGGTTTCTCTTTGTAGCTTTGGAACCTATCCTGGCACTTGCTCTGGAGACCAGGCTGGCCTCGAACTCACAGAGATCCGCCTGCCTCTGCCTCCCGAGTGCTGGGATTAAAGGCGTGCGCCACCAACGCCCGGCAATGCTGTCCATTTGTATCTTTTTAATCTGTCGTGATTCTATCTCAGTAACAAGAATATGCTGGAATGGATAGGTATCTAGTCTTCCTTATGTGAGATACTTTCCCGCAGGCAAAGCACTCTTGGTCCAGCAGACAGCCCATCTTAACGCCCAGCATAGAATTTTCCTAAAGGAATTTTAATTCCAACCCATATCACAATATGAATTATGACAATAGTCCAACAACAAAAAACAAGCAAATGTATACCTGAGAGAGTTCAGAACTTTTTAAAGTAACGCTTACGATCAGAACTACAAATTCACACAGGGAAATGGTGATTGTGGGTTTTCCAAATGCTTGTCTATAACCTACACTAAAACTATTATCAAAGTAAAATAAAAAGTCTCTAACAGGGCATAGTAGCACAGGTTTCCAAGGTCATCATGAGATAGGTAGAGACAGGAAGAGGATCAAAATTCATAGCCATCTTGCCAGGCAATGGTGGCGCATGCCTTTAATCCCAGCACTTGGGAAGCAGAGGCAGGCAGATCTCTGTGAGTTGGAGACCAGCCTGGACTACAGAGTGAGGTCCAGGATAGACAATTCTACAAAAAGAAACCTTGTCTCAAAATAAAACCAACAACAAAAAATAATCATACCCATCTACCACATAGAAAGTTTGAGACCAGTATAAAGATACATGAAATCTGGCCAGCCACTGGTAGCATGGGCCTTTAGTGCCAGCACCTTGGGAGGCAGAAGCAGGCAGATCTATGTGAGCTCAAGGCCAGCCTGTTCTACAGAGTGAGTGCCAGGAAAGGCTCTAAGCTACACAAAGAAACCTTGTTCTCAAAAAGCCAACAAAAGATACATGAGGTAATCTTAAAATAAAACAAAACAAAAAAGTGTTAAATATCAGTTCTTAGAAAAGCTTTAGATAATGCTATGTAAAAGACAAAATGGACTCATATGATACTGTTTTTCAATTTAATAAACATAAAATCATAATAAAACTGCAAAGAAAGAAGTATCATATGCTTATTACAAACCTGTGCTGGCGGTACTTGCAACGGGTTGTTATCCAAAATTATTACTTGTAAATGATGCAGCTTCCTATAGCAAAAAGAAATTTTGGTCACTTTATTACAGGAGAAATCCAATTTGACTAAGGGGAGATCTCCTAGTTCTGTTCAGAAATGAAAAAAAAATGTTAAAGGTTGTATGGTTACTCACTTACTCAAGTAAGTGAAAAGAGTGAATTTCTTACCATCTGGCAAAACATGAAGATTATTTCTTCTTATATTTAGCTCTTTAAGTGAATGTAACTTTCCCATTTGTTGGGGAAGGACCTGAATTTCATTGCAGCTGATGTCCTAAATAAAACAAGAAAGTAAAACGATGTCAAATTGAGAAATACAAATATACTTTCAATTTTAAATTTTAAGAATATGAACAAATTGCTAGCAACAAACATTATTTCTAATGGCCTTTTCTGGCACATTTTTTTTAGATTTATTTATTTATTATGCATACAGTATTCTGCCTGCATGTATGTCTGCAGGCCAGAAGAGGGCACCAGATCTCATTATAGATGGTTGTGAGCCACCATGTGGTTGCTGGGAATTGAACTCGGGACCTTTGGAAAAGCAGTCAATGCTCTTAACCTCTGAGCCATCTCTCCAGCCCCAGATCTTTATTTTTATTAGGGCATAAGTTGATATACCACAGTCAATAAAAAATTCTATGCAAAAATTTGAGATTAGATTTAATAAGTACATAAGGAAAACTCTCAACTAAAGAACAACTTTGGCCACTGAAATTAGATGAGCCAATGTTCAAAAAGACATAAAACAGTATAGATAAATATCAATGAATTTAAGTAATCTTACAATTATTATAGTTGATTTCAGATAATTTAGGAGAATAAAAGCCTAAACAAAGTCAAGGATTTAGAGATGTGAGTTAGAGAAACAGACAACATAGTCATAACAACTTTAAAAAATTACTCTTTACAAAAGAGCTAAGACTATGGAACAGTTACAAGCACACATACATGTGGCCCAATTCTACTCAAAGATGTCCAAAGGAATCAGAATCTGAAGTCTCTCAAGGTTATAAAAACATAACCCTGATTTAAAGGACAATCATCTAAAGACATTTTTGGGGGAAAAAAAGATCATATGGAAACCTACTATTGTAAAGCTTCTTGAAATAACAATAGATGCTGGGCGTTGGTGGCACACGCCTTTAATCCCAGCACTCGGGAGGCAGAGGCAGGCGGATCTCTGTGAGTTCGAGGCCAGCCTGGTCTCCAAAGTGAGTGCCAGGATAGGCTCCAAAGCCACACAAGAAAAACCCTGTCTCAAAAAACCAAATATATGAAATGAATATATTTGTATTAATGTTTAACATAAAATTTCCATAGTTTTAATTAACTATAGTCATTTCTATTGTATATAGATTTCTCAGTTTTCATTTCTGTTACACTGAAACTTCCTTATATGAGTATATTTACTAAATGTTTGGCGGCTCCTTGTTTTGTTTTGTTTTGTTTTTTAAAGAGTGTGGTTGACTGTGCTCCAGTGGAAGGCCACTCATCCAAGAATATATATACAGGAAAAACTGAACTGGATTTTTTTTTTTACTTTTTGTAATGAGAACAGAGTGCTCAGTGGATAGGGAAGCCGGGGGGGTTTGGGGGGGCAGGGGGGGGTGGGTGAATATTATCAAAATATATTGTATGAAATTTTCAAAGAACTGGTAAGTATGATTAAAAGAAAATCATGCAAGTTGTAGAATTAAGTACCTGTCAATATTTGATTCTCAAAATCTAATATTTAATCACACTACTAAATTAACACAGTTCAATTTAAGTAACTGAAACACACAAAAAAGAAAGTCATTGAAACAAGTAAAGGTAATAAAAGTGTTTCATCTTTTAAAAAAATCAGGACTTAAAATTTCAGTAGATTACAAGTATTTGAGGGAAGAGAAGTTGCACATTTCTTCACACAGTGGCCAAGGTCAATAGATAAAGCTAACAGGAACATTATTTTGGTGGAAAGTAATAAAAATTAATAACAAATAGCATTCTTTAAAAAAGAGAATTAAGAGAGGTTCAAATATACCCAGAGAACTGTCCATCTTGGAAATACACAGGTAGACTTATCAGATTCTACAATAAGGAGTGAGTGTATCTGATCATTTATAAGACCTTTTGTAACCCCAAACTTCTACAGTTCTAAAACATAAAGAGAAATTGGATATGAAGTGATTCCTTAGGAAGTAAACACAATCCTAACATTTCTGATTATTGAACAGTGTTATAACGATATGTTTCTATTATAAAATTGTAAGTTTTTAAAAAGAAACCTTCTGTTTCTTGAGAGACAAAAAAAAAGTCCTACTTAAGAAAATTCCCAAAGTACCAATTTATTGGGAAAGCTTTACCTCAATACAAAACAGAAAATAAAAATAAACACAACACAGTGTAGAATTGAAGTAACACAAATACATGAAAAGATTTCAATACTTGAGCATTTATGTTTTCATCTGTAAGTTCAATAGCCTTTAAAATCTAAAATGTTACTATTCAGAGGTATTATAACGATTTTCACAATCAATTGCATATAATTGCCTCTTTACATTTACTTTGGTCCTAAAAATGTTTAAAGTTGTATGAGCATATTAATTGAAGAATGTTATTTTGTTAGTACTACTTCTTTTTGTGAGCAACCAATGCTTTACCTTTTAAAAACTGATTATTTGTTCATTTGTTTGTTTTAATGCAATGGGGGTCTCAATATGTTGGCCGGCTTGATGTAAAACTGCTAATTTCAAATGATCATCCTACCTTCGCCTGGAGGAACTGAGAATAAGGGCATGAACCACCAGCACACACGGCTGCATTCTCTCCTTTTACCAGTCTGTTCTAAATCTCCTCAACTCCATAAAACATCAGAAAAATCTCATTTCTTTAAGAACGTCTCTGTCCACAAAGTAAATAAATAAATAGCTATTTACTTGAAACCTATGTCTGAAAACTCATAACAAAGCCTCCTAAAGTGTCCATGACCGAAGTGTTACTAAACTTCTGTTGTTGGCTGGGAGTTAAAATCAGACATAGATAAGTGCAGCTGAAATTGTTACCCAACCGAATTTAGACATATACCAAGTTATCCCTTTTTTCAATTACAGTGAAATTCCACAAAGAAATAAATATGCAACTCCAAAATAAAAAATTACATACTATATGAGGCACATATAATTTTATACAATATTTTACTCACCAGCTCCATCAAATCTTTTAATTTTCCAATTTCTTCTGGAATAGATACCAGTTTATTATTGCTGACAACCAAAACTTTAAGGGGAAGGTCAAATAGGTATTTTGGCAACGTTGATAAAAGATTTCGACTGAAAAAAAATTAAGAGAGACTCACTATGAAAAAATATGTCTGCATCTCGACATTACGCTACAAAAAAGTACAAAGCACCTCAATCATAAGCCTTTACCACCAAGTACCATTTACTGTTTCTTTTCAAACAAGCACATGTAACTTTCTTTCCTGCACTGTCTAATCTTCACATTAACCCAAGACAGAAAATATTAGCTTCAATATAAAAATATGTAAAATGAAGGCTAAAACTCGCTAGCTGACTTGCCTATTGTAGCACAGATTCAAACACAAGTCTGTTGTTACATATGGTACTGCTCACAAGTCATCCACGTAACAATGACTCAGGATTTTTCAGAGCTAGAGAATGTCAGAACCTTCTTCTGGAACATAATTTTAGCAGATTCAGTACCTTCATAAGTCTAACCATGGAAAGGATTGGAGGTAAATTTGCTGACATTGTGCTTTAAATGATGGAAGAAATCCATCTTCTCAAATATCAGTAGCTTGGAGAGTGGGGAGATGGCTGAGCAGTTAGGGACGTGCACTGCTGTTGCAGTGGATCCAAATTTTGTTCCTAGCACCTGCATGGAGCAGTTCACTGTCTCCTGTAACTCTGGCTAGTGGGAATCTGCCACTATCTTCTTGCTTCCACAAGCACAGCACTCACATGCACACACCCACACAGACACACATGCCCATACATTCAATTAAAAATAAAATGATTCTCTAAAAATACTAGTCATTGTTAGATAGTTTTCAGCAGAACAGCCTGGTAGCACTTTATGCCAGCTTAACATTAATGGAAAATCCCCTAGAGTACATTTAAATACATAACAATGAACTTTTTATTGAGTACTTACTATGTGCCAGTAAATGTTCAAAATAACTCAATTGAATTAACTCACGAATCCATCACAGCAACCCACTTTAGGAAAACACTCATTCCTGAGTCCCATTTTTAAAAGGAAACTAAATCACAATGTTCCAAAGTTACACAGTTAGTATACAGAAGAGGCTGAGTTGAAACCCAGTCAATCTGGCTTACCCTTCATGTTATATATCAAATGGCAAATTCAGACGGACTGGCCCAAAATATTTCAAAATCAAAAATATAGAGAAGACAACATTTAAATTATATATTAGCAAGCACTGAGAAGCAATAAGCTATCATTGTTTTCCTATTATTCAAATTAGCATTTAGAGACCCACACCTAGTGATTTATGCAATGTATGTCATTTAAGAAGGAATAGGAAGGAAGACAGTATCTTTCACCTGATCTCATCTCTGCAGAGAATTTCCAGAAATACTAGGTTAGCTTTAAAAGTGTGTGTGTGTGTGTGTGTGTGTGTGTGTGTGTGTGTGTGTGTGTGTAACAAAAGGGGAAGACAATGCTCTTCAATTAGGAATCCTCAACGGACTTCTAAAATGTCTAATGTCCTATGTCTCAACCAAAATCCTCCATACACTATGTCTTTTTATGTAAGGAAACTGAATATTGATTGAATATTGATGGATGTTACTATTTTGGGAAATGTCATTCTCCTACAGACACTAAAGAACAACTGTATGAATATATGGCTTTTTGCACACAGCTTGGCTCAGTTTTCTCATGTGAAATATAGGAATAATATGACCTATCTCAAAATGATGCTGAAATAATAAATGAGGTAATATGGGTCAAACACTTGCGATATTGCCTAGTACATAGTAAACTCTTATTAAACATAAAATGCTTGCCTAGCATGCACAATACCCTGGGCTGATCCCCATAACTGAAAGAAAAAAACATGTTAAGTATAAAGATTTTCTGCCATCTCATCTACTTCCAAACTTTCCAACCTTCCATCCCAAATTGTCCATTCTTGAACTAGCAATATCACAAGTGATAAAAGTTTACATAAAATGTGTTTCATTATAATGTTTGACTATAACTAGAGTCCCATATAAGTGAATTCAGAACTGGGCAACAAATGAGGAAAATGTTTATGTTCTAACGCCTTCCTCTCAAAGTGAAATCTAATAACTAGCACACACGCAGATAAATTATCAAGGGACCTTTTAGAAAATGTAGGTACCTCAGCAGACCTAACAGGATCCCCAGACAATTACTGTGTATGAAACTTTGAGAAACACTGCCTTAAGGAACAAGACCAAAAATGAACAAAACAATATGAGCATAAACAAAATACATTACTTTTCTATAAAAAGCAGTTAAAGATTTAAGAAACCCAAAAATGTTTGTTTATTAATATTTATATTGTGTTTTGCCAGCATGTATGTATGTGCATCATGTGTATTCTTGGTACCTGAGGAGGTAAGAAGACTTCATTGGATCCTGGGAAACTGTAGTTAAAGATGGTTATGAGCCAACATGAGGGTGCTAGTATCCAAACTGGTACTCTGAAACCAGCGACCTATTCCATTAACTGCTGAGCCATCTTTCTAGACCCTGAAAATATTTATTTAAAAAAGTGGGTTGCTTACCTAATGTTAAGGTATGTTAACATTTGCAAATTCTTAATGGCTTCAGGAATGGTTTTGATACAATTATGATACAGGTTTAATGTTTCAAGTGGTGCAAATAACCACACATCTGAAGGAATTTCTGTAAAGCGATTTCTGGAAAGATCTGAAAAATAAAAACAATGTTTGAGTAACAATTATACAACCTATGTAAACACTAATAAACAGAACCATTTCCACTCAGAATCTAAGCAACTACTGAATATATTTTAAACTCTTATTCACCAATATCTTGAAAAATCTTTTAATATAGTGATATAGAGATAAATTTACTTTAAAATAATTTTAACAAAATATGCTTCTAAATCTCTTGAAAATGCAAATAAGGTATTTATCTTTAAATATACCAATAATGGGAGGTATAGTCCAGTGGTAGAACACTTCGTTAGTATGCACAATTCTATGGGCTCCATCCCGTACAGTACATAAACACATACACACATCACACACACACACACACACACACACACACACACACTGACGAAAGGAATCCTCTCTGATCTTTAAAAATAAGAAACCATATCCAAACCCTGAACCCACATTACTTTCCATTTCTCTCTTCCTCCTTCATGGCCAAATTTACACAAACCTACTATACAACTAAATTCAACATGTGCTTTCAAACCCACTCCTAGGTTTCTATTCATTCTCACATGCTCCGAGGTTACCAACTGTCTCCATGCCAAAGACCTCTCCATCCATGTGGAAACATTTCCATTGCTTGGCCTAGAGACTTCCCTTCTGAATGTCCATTAATGTCTCCCATGTCTTAGGTTCTTTGGCTAGATTTTCTCTACCTGAATCATGAATGCTGGACTCCCAGGGGGCAATTACACAAAGCACTCTTGCCTTAAGTTAAGAATCTTTCTGGGAGAGTTAGCCAAATAGCATGTATTTAATGGCAAAT